AGCAGCGAGCCTGAAAGGCAGAAACGGGTTCATGTATTGGTGTAATTCACATTTAGGTGGGAATCGTCTGATAATCTCAGTTGTGGACGCCGGCCGGGTCTCAGGCATCCGGTGAGAGGAGCCCTCCTCCTTCAGCGGCTGGAACAGGTGGAGGCGTGAGTGTCGTCAGCCTCCAAGGTAAGTTGGAAGCGTTGTTCGGAAGCTTTGGGTCCGTACTTGCTTCGTATGGGTCGGGCGATCAGCGCTCTGAGCACCTTGGGGCGGGCTGCGCCGGATGGAGCGTCAGAGGCGGTCACTCGCAAGGCAAAGATGATCGAGGTCTATGCAGAGTTCGGAGAGTTGGACCGGCCTAAGGCAGTCCGGTATCTCCGTGATAAGTTCATGGCTTTGTCCGTTGACGAGGCTATGGAGCCGCAAGAGAAAGAAGGAACGATCATCGCTCTGGGTGGTAAGCCTAGCAAGAGTGACCTGAAGGTCTTCAGCACTCCTTCGGCCGAGAGCAAAGGGTCTGGTCCCGACGCTCGCGGTCCGTCCGGACGCGGTGTCATGATCACCATGAAGTCCGCAGAAGGTGGACTTGGGCAAGCCGCCGGGTCGCCAGCGCGATCGGATGCGGGATCAGAGTCTCGGCTTCGCGCCAAGCTAGCCAGAGTCTCGGCTTCGCGCCAAGCTAGCCGCAGCGGAGGTGGAATTGGAAGCGCTGCGCCAAGTAAGGCTGACTCCGAGGTCGGAGGCGAGAAGAGCCTCGCCGCCGCGCTTGAAGAGCAGACTCGAGTCTTGAAAGAGGCCTTGTCGTCTCGCGGGTCATCTTCAACCGTGACCGCGGTGAAAACTGACTTGAGTTGGCCAACCCTTGGAGACGAGAGAGCTGACACGAAGGATGTCGCGCTCTTTTTTGAGGAATTTGAAGATGTTTGTGCGCTGGCCAATTCCTGCAAAGGGATGTCGGCTAGAGAAAAGCTGTTGGCGCTCCGAGCCCGCTGCAAGGGTTCGCGTCTCACAAGACGTACCAGAACCTGTACCGTGCGGCGTGGCAATCGGGAGAAGCGCTGGAAGACCCAGAAGGCAGTTTATGAGCGGATCAAGTCCAAGCATCTGCTCTTCAGCGAGCCCCGCGAAGAACGTGAGATTCAAGTTGATTCAGTGCATGTGGCACTCGTCAAGGGCCGTTTGACCGGCCATCAGTTGGAGCCCTTGTTTGAGGCTTCAGTTGCGGAATTGGAGGAAGGTCGGCCCTTCACTCCAACGGGAGATCCGCGCTGACAAGCGCCTTTGGGGTCAAGAAGATCGCCTCAGAGGACCTCAGACGTGGGAAGAAGCCCATCGAGCGGTCCTAGAGTTCGACAGAAGCGATGAATCGCGCTACAGCTCAGGCGTTGTACTCTCTATAGAGGGCCAGAGTTGGATCCAAAGCCTAGAGCCGAAACCACGACTCACCAATGTCGGGGCGACTGCAGGGGATCCTCGGAAGGAAAAGAGCTGCTGGGACTTCCGAGACCACGGCAGCTGCCGGAAGGGCAGAGACTGCCCGTTCTCGCACGACAAGGAGTTGCGGAGGCGAGAACTTGAGAAGAAAGGGGCCGGCAAGGGCGAGCCCCAGGGCTCGGAATCCTATCCTGCCAACGGAGATGGGAAAGGCAAGCAGGATGAGAGGGGTGGCGGCAAGGGCAACGCCAAGAAAGGAGGCGACGACAAAGGCAAGCCCAAGGAAGGGAAGCAGCGCCCGTTCTTCGCTAAGAAGGGTTTCTGCAAGAAAGGAGCCGCGTGCGACATGGTTCACTTGCTCACAGCGACAACGACGGCCGCTGGAGAAGGTAGCGTCGGAGCTCTGCCTGCAGGTTGGGGCGCGCTTTCGGGAGCGCATCTGACCAATCCGTTCGGAGCATTCGTTGTCGTTAGTGGCAAGCCGGTCTCAGCATGCCCAGCCTGAAGATGAGGCCATGTTGAAGCATGCGGTCTCCACGCTCAAGCGCCGGAATGACCAGGGTCGAATAGGGACTTTGGAGTCGCCCGTAGGGAGCGCACTTTTCCGACACAAGGAGGTCGTATCGGTATTTGGTACCCTGATGAACCTTCCTATCCGTGGATGGTTGTGCGGGCAGATGCTTGTCAGTACGCCATGACTTCTCCTGCCTTAGATGACGGAAGCTTAGGCCAACCAGTCGAGAAGGGACAGTTGTGGCTCAGTAACTGTGACGTGTCCGCATTGAGTTTGAGGTGCCATCGTGCTGATGCTCTCGCTCGAACAGAGCACAAGCACAGACCAGTCCGGGGTTCGATGCAAGTGCCCGCGGAAGAAGGGACCAAATGGGTCTCGTCCGGAGTCACGAGTGGCATCTATACACGCGCGTGTTGCGACGCGTACTGGAATTGCATCGGGCGCTGGCTGCCGGCAAGGGAAAGCGATCGCGACGCTCCACTGCCGAGAGAATCCAAAGCTGTCCTGTGGACAACCTTTTGCAACACGACAGCGTTATGCTGCCGTATGTGGGAAAAACATGTCGTGTGGATCCGTGTCTTCTCGTGGTTCATGGACATGGCTCATGCAAGCCATATGGGCCTATGGTGTATAACCCTTGTTGTTGAGCAAGCTGCAGTCATGAGGGGCGCTGTCCGTAACTCGGAAGTTTCTTCAACAAACAAAAAAGATACACAACATTACACAACAAACTTATATAGTAGTACATGTGGGTTGTTGGTTCGTTGCACTATATCACAATTTTCACCGATATGGTTTTATAATGTTTTATACATGCAAAAACGCATGTTTTAGAACGCGCGCGCCGGACGAGAAAACGCGTGGAAGCAGGCCGACACCTGGAGGCCCTAGTAGCTTCTTGCTCCTATAGTAGTAAGGCCAGGAGGCCCTGTCAGGACTTCTTTTTTTCAGAATGCCTTCTTTGGGCACACGCGACGCCGTGGACGAAACACCGCTGCCACTTTCGAAGGCCATTTCCACGATGGGTCATTTTTTGGTGAACAGGCCATCGCAGTGATTGAGAAGAAGGCCTCCATGTTTGACCAACCGTGTCGTTGCAAAAACAGGAGTGAAAATGGGTGAAAAGAAATTCCTACACCAATGATTTCTTTGTTACTCTAATTCTCTCTCGCAACATGGTCTCGAATTTGGTGCAAGCTGGAGCTCGGTGAGTGGCTGGGGAGCCAAGGCGCTTGGCAAGAATCAGGGCGCTAGAATTCATGAGCAAAAGATTTCAACTGATTGTTTGGAAACCTTTGAAGTGCCCTTTCAACTGCCCAGAGCAAGACTACTCGCGAGTCGAAGGCTTCGAAGGTCACATGTCTTCTGAATATTCAGAGTCTTGGAGATGAAAAGTCTTGTTTGGGGACTTGTTTGGGGGTCATGGGGTTTATGCCCTCTCCTCGCACGTCGCCCACTCAGGCTCTCAGGCTCGACGCTCATCGATCCAACCTCAGGCGCAGTGGCGCAAATCGCAATTCTGACGAGTCCAGCTGCCACAAGTGCTGCCAAAGCTACTGAGCGGAGAGACTTGCCAGAAGGAGCGCAAGCAGGAGAAACGGAGAGCAGTACCACGGACGAAATCATCGACCTTGAGGCCAGTACTGCTGCCACCCAAGCACACACAGCAAGCTCCTCCAATGACATAAACACGATGATGGCTTCCCAAACCGCTCCACCTGGCCAGCCACCCCCTCGACAATTGCCTGCGGTGCGGGAGACCACTGTCACAAAGGAAGAAGACGCAACGAAGCCGCCTGCGTCCCCTGTTCCCCTCGGGTATACAGAAGGTCGCCGGGATACCTCTGTGCGCGCGAGGGCAGCAGGTAAAGCTCAACTCGAGGGCAATAGTGGCCACCCGTGTGGCTGCCCCTCTGTGCCTCCTGCCAAAGCAAGCTCCACTAACCTCCCCTCAGGGGAGGAGAAAAGACGCAACAGATGGGCAACGAGTTCGCCAACGGTCTCTGCAGCTCCGCCTCAAGGAGTGGACCCGGCTGCTCGCTCGGATGATAGTCCAGCCAGCCCAACCAGCCCGGCGCACCCCACCAGTAAGGGGGCGGTAGAGATCCCTGCCCCCCAAGCAACCGAACGGCCCAAGCTGCAGGGGCCCCTGGCAGTTAAATCTAAAGCGGCCAAACCGGCAGCAGTCTCGCAGGAACGGGCCCCAGAACAAGGTCTCATCGATGCACTCCAGTCTCGGCTGCGCACACCGCCAATGCCTGCGACAGGTCTGCTCAGCATCGCAGCGGCCAGGCCGCCCACAACTGGTGCTGCCAACCCACAGATGCCAGCGGCAACCACTGAAGACCCAGGCACCCGCACATCAACTAAGGAGGAAGTCACTACTCAGGAAATATACCTCCAGGAGGCAGATGATCAGTCGGGACCAGTTGATGCTGACATCACCCAGTTAGCAGAGCAGAGAGCAATGCAAATGGTATTTCGGTACCAAACGCTGTCGATCGAACGCATTGCCCAAGCCAGTCCCCACACAGTTGAACTACCCACATCCTCCGGCGGCGCCCCCTGTCAGTTTGTACGCTAACTTGCCGCAAGAGTGGCCCCTCGCACGCCTTAGTGTGCAGCTGCAACACATTGGGGTTCTGCTGCGGGTTACCCTCTACCGCCGAGCAGCTGAACTCAACTTTCGCGGGGTCCCCTTTCGACACATACCGCGAGAAGTTATGAAAAGCATCTGCCATGACTTTAATCACATTGGTGGGGAATTGGCCAGACGGCTTGCGTCGCTTTTTACATTCCTTAAACCAGCCTCGGGCACAGAAACAAATGCAGACCGCCTAGGCCTGTCTCTCTATGCAGAACCGGCCTACTGGCTTTACGGTCTCTTCAATGAGGGCCGCTTCTACTTAGCGCACATATAACTTCTTAGGTGACTTACAGTCAACTTACCGGAAGTTAGCGGATTTGTCGGTATGGATTGAAAAAGTCACACCCCATATCTATTTCTAAGTTGCCGTATGTTCTTCTAAGTTCAGGTAACTTCACCGGTGGTGTGTTTTCTTCACCATAGGCAGAGAATGCCGCCGTCCGCGCGGATGTGCCAGTGACTGGGCTTTTGCCAGTCTTTCTCAAATTCGTCCGCGGCAACGAGCTTATGAAAACCTTCATCGCGCCACACTGTCACATCGCAGGAAGCCCACTGGTCAACCTCAGCAATGCGAGGAAAAACCATGGTGGAAGTCACTTGTTCAACACAAACACACGGCCAAAAGTTGAAAAGGTGACAATCAGAAAAGAAGAGCTAAACAACAGCATACACCGAACTCTTTTCTGGGAAATCTTCAACTGGACGATACACGTGAGGATATGGGTGAATATTTTTTGGAGGGCGGCTTCGAAGGCCGCCGCGGCTTTGTGGGCCGCTGCGGCTTTGTGGGCCGCTGCGGCTTTGTGGGCCGAGCTTTAAAAAACGGCTGAAAACCAAACCGAAAAAATTCATAAAGTCCACGTGGGCAACCATGGTGTAGACTTGTAGGTGTAGCCATCCACGTCCCCGCACACGCAAGCACCTCGCCACAAGGCCATTGGCGACAGAGCTCAAAACAAAATCTTGCTTATAGACCCTTCCGTTCTGCAGATCCAAAGCTTTGCCTTCCTCCACCAGCTCCAAGGTCCCATCGACATGTTGGTGGCTTTCAGAAATTGGCGGCGTCAAATCTCCAGGCAAGAAAGGTTTCTCCAGCAAGGTGCAATGATAATTCAACAGCCGTGACAAAACCCCTGCGTCAAAGAGGAAAGCATCCTGCAATAAACCATCCAGGCGGTTTTGAATCTGGTATTTGTATGTCCTGTGTTTAGCCTCTTGCGGAAAGCAATCAACCAAGAGCTGACTACGCCAGATCATCTGGCTGAGGTGCAACTGATAATGGTGTTTCGGCTTAAAATCATTGTAGGCATCTCTGTAAAGCTTCAAGTATTGCTCAGTTTGTCGCAGCAGCAACTCACACTTGTCCTTTGTGATACCTCTTTGTAGGCTCTTCAAAGTCGCCAGCAGCTTGTTCAAAGCATAGAAAGATTGCAGTTCTGGTGTCACAGCCACGGTGTCCGGTACAGCATCAATGATATGATACAACATCAAAGGGAGGAGCAACCTCAGGTCACTTGCCGAGCCGCGGTAACCATCACCAGTAAACCGCTGACTCTCTGCCAATTTTTTCCGCCACGCTTTGCTTTTTTGCCCGCTGGTGCACCAAGGAGTGTTCTGAATCGCCGCCTGCAAATCCTCGCACTTGAAATCTGACTTCGTGGAAAGGACAGCCATGAACTGGACAACCTCCCACGCTGCCACGCCAGAAGCCCAATATATGTGCATTGGGTCGAAAAGCACCTGTGTAGGTTTCAAAATCTGCCTGGCTATGGGATTTGCCAGGACAGCACCTGCGTGAAAATTGTACCCAGAGATCTTTTCAAGGCGTTCTTGTTGTTTTTTGTTCATGTTGCCCGTCTCTCTGGCCATCAAGTCCCAAAGATCAAAAACTTCTTGGTCCGACCAAAGATCAAGCTTAGCCCATTCGGTCTCTGAGATTTCTGTGATATACCCTTCCTCGTCACGTAAGTTGGAGCCCTTTTTGCACACATTTTTGCAAGCAAAGCACGCTTTGATCGAGGCACTTCCTCGCCAAGCAAAAGTTGCCCGGATGGCATCAAAGTCTGCAATGAAATAACCCTGCATCAGGTTCACCCGCAGCAATCTATGGTAACCATCCAGCTGAAGCGCAATACCATGTTCCATGTGGAAAGATTGCAACAACAGAACCACTTCACGCATCATCTTCGAAAACCCACCTGCCACAGATTCTAAGCTCGTATGCTGGGCAATGAACAGAGGGAACCAAACTTCTTCCTTCTGTCGCTGCTGTAGTTCGGACAGGGTCACGTATCCAATGGCAACCTTTTTGGCACTGTGCGGCGCCAAAGGGTTTCCAGAAACCACCTCATCCCAATACAACAATGGTTGGAGCAAAGACCCCATAGATCTATCAACAACTGACAGAAGCCTCCGAGCAAATGGCACACTGCGAACTGCCATGTACTGGAAATATTTTGGCAGGTGTGTCACAGCAATGTGCACCATCTTCCCAGTCTCATCTGTGCCCACTGGCACCTTCAGGACGCAATCGCTTGGCAGCTCATCACGGACTTTGCGTTTGTATCCAGTGTAGGACTTTGGAACCGCATCTTTGCTGGCGATTTTCAAGATGCCATGCAAAGCTTTCTCACTGCATCCACGCACCTTCAAACATTGTGCCAGCAAATTCTCAGGCGAAGTTTGGCTGTGGGATGAGGAGGCAGGGCATGTGGATTCACCGGCATTCATGAAATGCGATTACTGTTTCCTCAAAGGATTCTACTCAACTCATACGCGAACTTCAGCATCCAGTCACGCAGAAAACAAAACTTGTAATCTGAACTTGACCAATGAAATATAGTATTTGATATGCGGGGATATGTCAGAACCCCTGGGCCGAAACGCACAATGTGGAGAAAACAGTGTGAGCACACGGGTTAAACCTAAAGGCATAGACCTGCTCTCAACGAACGCCGAACCTTTTTCTCAAGACACACGCCGCAGGCTCAAGGCGCGGTCGAAAATCAAAAAGGGATCAGCCAGAATGAAAATTCTGAAGCGGGGCGGCCCGCAGAGCCGCAACCATCAAGCGCCACAAAGCCGGCGGCTCAATGAGGCATCAAGCGGCCCCCAAGGCCGCGGCAAAGCTTTGAGCTGTCTGGCAAAAGCGGCCCTCGGAGCCGCGCAGGCGGCCCCCCAAGCCGCATTTCATCCTCACTGCTTGATCCTCCTCTTCTTTGACCCAGCAGCGTTTGCTTTGGCCTCCTGCAAGTACCGCTTTGCGGCCTTGACTTCAACCATCATGTCCTTCTCACCGTTGAAGGGCAGTGGATCCAGCGCTGCTGCTGCATTCCTTGCATGTTTCTGCAAAGCGCTTGCTGCAGCTTTGTGCCACGCGGTAAGCAACACATGGCATGATGTCAAGTTCTCCTTCAGCAACGGGTTCGTGTCAGGGTCTGAGACATGCTGACCCAGCTCATCCTTCAAAGGCTGCAGGATCTGCACAGCCTTACCTGAGAGGTTGACGATGGTCTTGTTGTTCTTCAGCCTGTCACGCTGTTCCGCTTGCTCCTGCTTTCGCTGCTCTTTGGCTGCCTTGCTCTTGGCTTCCCGCTCCTGCTTCTTTCGTAGCGCCTCAAGCTGCTTTGCCGTCAACTTCTCCTCCTCCTCCTCGTTGTCAGGCCTCTCCTCATCAGACAAAAGGTCGACCACAGGCTGGGCTGCCGTCTCGCTCTTGTTGGCTCCATCCACGGCAGCAGCTCGCTTGCGCACTGCCCTTTCTGCCTGGGCGACAGAAGTCTCAATCTGCGCTCGGATCTCCTTCTCTTGGAGCGAAGTGACTGGCAAGCAATAGACATCTTCCTGTAGGATGGGGTCAAAGATGATCGGCGCATTCTGCTGAAGGCTCTCCACATTGTAACCGCGCCTGAAACATGTATGTGCTGAACACCAGGCAAAATGTCTTATAAGTTTGTTGGACACGTGCAAATAAACGTGAGCTCATACATTCAAACCATGGGGCCAGGCCACCATTGTATATATATATATATGGATTAACTTTACTTCCAGCTAGGGGAGAAAAGGAAAAGCAAACAAAGCTTTGCAGCCTAGTCTCTGCTTGTAAACACTCAAAGGAAGAAACTCGCCGCAGCTCTTCTTGGTGAGCTCGTTCGTGACCTGGGTGGTCAGGCTCGTGATCAGGACGTCTCGCAGGCGGTCATACCGAAGTCTCCCTTCTCCAGCTGCATCTTTCGCAGCTTGACATCTCTGCCAAAATGCAGCCTGAGCGTCCGAATCTAATGCACTGAACTCGGCCGGCGGCCAAGAAAGATTTCTGCGCAGCATGGAGTTGATCGCGTTGCATGGTTTACACCACCAAACCTTGCCCCTGGCCTGGGCATCATAGACGTAAACCTGAGAGAGGCACTTTTGGCATTGGACCTTCTGGTCTTGGCTCGCGGGTACGACCTGTTCCTGCAGCTCCTCTGACTCTGAGCGTTTCCCTCCTGCCTGACCAGCTGGTGGCTCTTCGGCTGTTGGCTCGTCAGCTGGTAGGTCGTCAGCTGAAGGCCCATCAGAAAATTGTCCAAGCTGGTTGTCAGGTTGCTCCGACAAAGCGGTCGTCTCCAGTCGCGGGGTTCCATCGACTGCATCCATCGGCACCTGGCTATCGGGCAGCGTTGGCGTTTCCATTGTCCGAACAAGCAAAGAGGTCAAGTACTGGGTGTTCTATCTGAAAAATGGCTGCCCAGAGAATCATCTAACATGAAGTGTCTATTCACGCACATGGTATAGTGTGTTTCTGAAGGGGTTCTTTTGATGCACAGGGCGGCGTTTGTTTTGTTTACGCGCGAACGTTTCTCTCGTTTTCCCCCATACATCGCAAGCCTCAAGTCAGCTCACGCTTTCAACAAAAGCAAAAAAACTTGCGCTTCCCTGCGCGGCCCACAAAGCCGCCTGGTGAGGACGAGGGCGGCCCACAAAGCCGCAACAGGGCGGCTCACTTTCTACTTGATGGTTTCTTCTTGACAGCGCCACGCTTTGGTGCAGGCTTTTGAACCTTCTTTCGCGCGGGCTGAGCACTGGCCTTCGGCACAGCATCATTGGGGTTGCCGGAGAAAAGCTGGAATGCTGGACTCTTCCACATGGCTTCTGTGATGGACACGTCCTTGACCACAAACCGCAGCTGGTATGCAAAAGGGCAATGTTGGTCGTGCTGGAACAAGCATCTCGACAGCAAATCCATCACCTGTTCATCGCGTTTGTATTTCACATCACCCACGTGCTGTCCGCTCATGGCCTGAATGATGACTTTCTCTTTGTCCTGGATCAAAGTGAGCACTCGTGACCCATTTGGCAGGTTCCCTGCATGCTCGACCAGCGCTGCAATGCCTTGATTCTTGCTCTCAAAAACCGAGAACTTGTTGTGGTAGGTCCCTGGTCCTTCTTGCAGGTAGAAAGGCACGAAGGAGCCAATGAAATAGTTCAAGGACAGATGAAGCCTCCAACGAAAAACTTGTCAGGGGAACTTTGAACAGAAAACAAACACCCCGCTCTGGATCACAGCCCCAAAATCTGAAATCAAAGACAGGCAACACAGATCCACCAAGGCGGTACCGGATTGCTTGCTTTTCTGGCAAGGCTCCCTGCCACTCCACCATGGCATGGACCTGGTTCTCACTCAAAGTATGCCACTCATGAATCGCAATGAGGCCGTGGCGCAGCATGGTTACACAAATGGGTGTCTCAGCCAAAATCTTGAGGCGCGTGCGATTGACCAAAAAAACAGCACAGGTTTAAGATCAAGCTCTCTCCCTCACGGTGTGTTTTTGCTTTTTAAAACCCTCTACAGTGCGCATTTTTTGTATTTTTATATTTTTTCAAAAAAATATTAAAAATGTCTGACTAAGATCAAAAAAACAGTTCTATCTATATTTACGTATATTAACGTATATTTACGTATATTGGACGTATATTGACGTATATTGGACGTAT